ATTGTAACATGAGGACGTGGCTTAGCTATGCACCAGCAGTTGGAGTGAATGTAAACTATTCATGTCTTGGAGCATTATCTCCTGCATGTAGAGGGTGTCTGTGGTGCTCTCAGGGTGCTGGGGGGAGGTCAAAGTTCAACAAGAGGCTCCTGGAGTCTTTTTCTTTTTCAAAGACACTAAACTTGTCATGAGTGGCAAAAGCGAGTCGGCTCTGGATGTCAGGGAGCTATTAAGGATGATAATTTGACCCTGAGGGGTGGAAAGGAAATGAATCCAATCCCATCTCAGTGTTTGGGTGAAGTTATGCCCCTCTTTCTTTGGGAATAAACATTTACATTCCTGTGTTGAGCATGTTAATAGAGATTAAGCTGAATTCAAGCCTGCGTGTCAGGCAGCAATTCAGGTGGCTCATACCTCACATACCTGTTGGAGATTGTGTGCCTCTCACAATGCGTCTACCACAGCAAGGAATTTTGTTTTTGTGATGTACCAGGCAGGTCCTAAATACACAGCGAGAAGCAGTTTCCCGTCACTGGGAATGAAAATATGTAGTGTATGTTAAAATATGTTGAGTAATATCCAGCGCCTTTCTTTTCTGTTCTGTGTACAGTTTATATCCTGTTCCCTCCAAATTAAAGACAGGATGGAATGTGACCCTAATTTGGGCCTATGTTGAGTAAACGTGGGTGGCAGCCATATCCAAAGATGCACGGCAGACCTTCATTAAACGGTAATATAAATTCCACATTAAAAACAATAGGACGCTGCTTTTTTTTTTTTTAAATTGATGCTGCCAAAGAGATGACACAGATCTCATCAACATAAATCAAAAACCAACAGACGATTTCAATCACAACCCAGCAAAGGCCAAGACCACACATTCCTCTGCATCCAGTTGATCTCTGTTCTTATGAGCTTGATTCAGATAAAACTTGTCACTGGGCCTTAAATGGCACATGGTTGGCAGCTCATGTGCCTGACTTGAAAGACTAAAATGAACCATACTTGTGACTAGATTTAGAACTATGAAAACACGGCACGCAACGGAGTCATGTGCGTCCATATGGTGAACTTCCTGAGAGCAGCCGGTGGACATAAAGCTGGGACTGAGAAACGGAGATCAACATTTTTGAGCTAGGGACGGTCAGTCTAGAAAAGCCTGTGGGATATAAAACAGAGTAAATCAACTCTCCACCCTCGGACCTCTTTTCAAAGATCTGCAAAGTCACTTTCTATCTTTAAAGACACTCATTTAATTTCCCTGTGTTTTGTAATGTTGACGTTTCAGCATGTGGAAGGTTGTCACAGGGGATAAAATTTGAAGTAGTGTTTGTTTAGGTATTGCAATTACTTTTATAAAAACATTTTTAAGGCTGTACTTGACAGGAGAGAAAAAAACAACAAATTGCACTGAGTTCTGCAATCAAACTGGGCAGTGTGGCACAAGATTAGGTGGACCCTAGGGACAGATGAATATACTTTCTTTTAACAAATAAAGTGAAGTTCCTTTAAGAAAAAAAACTTAATCTTGCATTGCTCTTGTAATGATATCCTGGTCATGCTTTGAGGAAAAGAGGAAAGTCAGCGTGTTCCCTTAGGGATTTGATTTCAACAATAGCATGACAAGTAAAGGGCTTGTCATTGTGGTTTGAATGTAATTAATTTTAACTGGTTTTATAACCTGACACTCAGTGGTTTTGAACTGACATAGTCATTTATTAAGGATTGGAAACTTCTAATTCGAACTATTAACTTGAAGAAAAAATTTGTTCCAAATCAATTTGCACCATTTTGCACCAGTGAACTATAACTGGGTGTTTTGCTTCTTTTCCATGTTGGGCTTCGACCATCATATTCTTCAACCCTGTTTACATCAATACTAGGACTTTTTAAAATACTGTCCCTTTTAAATAATATGGTTGAACAGAAATTCATTCATTTACAGGAGTTAATACCATGAGCATGTCCCTTTTAAATAATATGGTTGAACATAACTGACCATACTGTATTATGTAATCTAAGCAGAGGCCATTTGCTCTAAAATCAGACACAAACAAAAAGATATGTCTGGAGTAATTACACTGAGAGGATTAAAACAGAACACAACAGCTTGTTAACGGTTACTTCTTCAATAGTCAGTTCTCAACATTAATGATAAAAGTGAATTCAAGTTTCCACCATCACCCACAAGCTGGAAACCGCCCGAGCATCATTTAAAGTGCGCATGTTTCTTCGGCCAATCAGCGCGTAAGGGTGCAGGAGCGTGTTTCTTTAAGAATGTAAGGTGGGTGAGACCCTTTTACTGACGCACGGCTGGAATGCAAACATAAATTTAGCAGCAACGTGTTTGTAGGGGAACTAAATATCAAGACGAGACCGTGAAGTGTCATGTCGTCTGCGGCGCTTCTCGGCTGACTTTTCCCGTTTCCTTCAGTGTCTGTTTGTAAACTGGAGTCTGGAGCGCAGCGCGCAACGCAGCCTGGAGCAGCTTCCCCCCTGACTGAGAGACGGAGCGGGACACAAGGACGCACTGAGAGTCTGCAGCCACAGCTGAGTTTGTGCCACTGAGGTGATCAGAGATGGACGGGGGCAGTTTCTGGAAGCTTGCACTGCTGCTCCTTGTTTTTGTTTTTAAGGTAAGCTGCAGCACTTTCCCTGCAAAGATACTTCAGACCTACTGATCATTTATCAAAATGAAAAGTTGCTCACCGTGAAACAGTTTTTCTTTTTCTTTCTTTCTTTCTTTCTTTCTTTCTTTCTTTCTTTCTTTCTTTCTTTCTTTCTTTCTTTCTTTCTTTCTTTCTTTCTTTCTTTCTTTCTTTCTTTCTTTCTTTCTTTCTTTCTTTCTTTCTTTCTTTCTTTCTTTCTCTCTTTTTCTTTTTTTTGGGATAAATCACCTTTATTTTATGTGAGGCACCTGTTGCACAATTTCTATGATGTCGTTTTATGTCCATACCAGAGCTCCAGTCACATAGATTGTTACCACTTGGCATTTTGCATTCTGCCTTACTTTTTGTTATTTTAAAAGTTTAAATAGCGTTTAGACTGCAACCCCCCCCAAAACAAACAAACAAACAAACAACCCCCTTCAAAAAACAAACAAAAAACCCCCACCAAAAAACAAACAAAAAAAAACCAAACCAAACAAACAAAAAACTGTTCATCATCTCACAGTGTTTCTCAAGGTGTGGTTCATGGAGATGCTTTTGCTTTGTGACTGTTTACCAGTTTCAAAGCAACACTGTTGCTGATCAATAACTCGTACCAGGCAAAATGCTGCCAGCATTTAACTAGGCGCCAAGATACTGTTCAGTATTTATTCTACCCATTTCTCATTTGTACTTTATACCCTTCATATAACTCCAATAACTTTTAAGAACATTTAACAAAAATCATATCAAGAACAATATTCTTTTAGATATCCACAATGAACATTTTCATTTTATAAACGTATAACCTTGATTTGTTAAATTTAAGTTAAAAAATTTAAGGTAATTCTTTTTTGTTTTTAATAAGAAAGATAAGGTGCCTCAAAAATGAGACTTAATCCAAAACAAACCAAAAGAAGCCCTGGCTAACACGTACATATGAACCCTGCACGGCTTTACTTGGACCAAATTAATACAATGATTAAAAATCATATAGAAATTGCCTGAAGACTGTGAATAAAACCCATGTAAGCAGTGCTCTGTAGCTCCCATGTACACACGCTTCAGCACAGTCAGTCATTTGTCTTGGACCGTTTCAGTAACACAGCTGCAGAGATGGGAACGTAGATAAAAGAACCAGGGAGGATGTGTTGTTAGTGCAAGTTTGAAGTGACATAATACCACTCTGTATGCAAATACTTTGGTTAGGGTTTAGCTAAAAAAGTGACATAAATACTCGGTGTGATGTAATGCAGTGATGATACTGCAACGTTCCAAAGCTGCAGACGCAGACTTGTTTGTCTTTGCCCTCACAGTCCTGTAATTTAATAGACAGCACATGGGCCAGCTTTCGAAAGGTCAGTGCTTATCTGTGCAGCGTTGAACAAACTCTTCAGGAATCATAGCGTGGATGCCCGCAGCAGTGAGCGGTTTCCTGTGTTATCTCTGCTGTGCCTGTCACCAACATGCAGACTAAGTTGTGTAAAAGCTGACACATGCTGCATGAAGGCTGAGGCTTTAATGTGCGACACAAAGCAGTTGTTTGACTTCAGGGTTCAAACGGGGATGGGCAGAACGCCAGTGTCAGCGTGTGTAAATGACCACGACAGGTGCTAATAGCGCTCCAAGGTGATTTGGGCTTTAGGCGCTCTGGCTGCGGTGTAGCTCAGCTGAGCACGTCCATGCTGTAATCAGTGAATATTGTTGACAGAGGAGGGCTCAAGGCTGCGCTGCTCTTTCCAGGCCACCATCCAGGGCTGGCCTGATAATGTTACAGTGTAAATGTTTGAAGAAAATAGTGAAGTAGTACATGTATCTCTGTAGATTATGAGCATCAGTGTAAGAACACCCGGGATCTACTCTCCTGATCAGTAATCCTTGGTTACATAATGCAGGAATGGTTCCACAAGTTGACTTGTGTTTTACAAGTTGAAGTAGTTTGGTTATTTTGTGTGTCTGTGATAAAGCAGGGCTGAGTAATGACCCATTTGGGTGGTCACACAATTACCAGCACATGACGAGCTTTCCCATCTGTGCAAGGAGTGACTGTGCAACATGAATCAGCACCGGACATGTATCTGTTCACACACACACTCACAAACACACTTCAGTGTGACCCCGTGCTTTGCTTCAGAGACCGGGAGATCAACGAGTGCTGGCTCCGGGGTCCCTGCCGTGCCTTGGCCTTTTCTTTTCATCCCTATTCTCAGGTCAAAGTCTTTGCATGACTATTTAACAGAAGAATGCAGCTCTATATTTGTGTGTATGGCTGCTGGTAGCTGTGTGATATGTGTGTGTGGGCCAAATGGCCTGTGGCTGTGACCCTAGATGGAATAGACCCTCCTTTGTGGGTGACATGATGACATACCACTTGTGATTTTTGGTAAGGTCCTCTCCTCTCACTTGATTCATTTTTAATATTAGCAGTTTTTTTTAATGTCTTGTGGGGTTTTTTTGTGTGTGAAATTTGATTGTTTAAACTTCCAAAGCTCTTGTGTTTCCTATGATCTCAGCCAGCCAAGATGTTAAATGCATCACTTGTACTTCTTACTACTACAGTCAAATCAAACTTATTTTGGAGGACATAGTCCTGTAAAGATACGTACTGTAGGTCTATTCCAGTGAAAGACAGTCCTTAACACCAAACAAGTCATTTTACTAACAAATAAAATGTACAGATAGTTACTAAACATTCAAACGATCGCAGTAATGCAGTGGATGTTTGAGCTAATGTATTATTAAAGATTTAGTGAGGAGTAAAAAAAAAAAGACTGTTGACAATTTATTGTTGTTTGATCTGTTGTACAAAAGTAAACAAGACACATTTCTTTTTTTATTTTTTATTATTTGGTTGATTTTTGGGAGGCTGTACAATTGCATGTACCTCAGGAACCACAAGTTGAACACCCCTGGTCTAGTCTTGTGTCTCTCTATATTTCAATAAAGTTTGAAAATGGAAAAACATAACAATTTGGGCCAATGATCCAGGTTACATGAGCAGTTCAACATAAGTAGTCTTAAGCAAACAGAAGAAATAATAATTATGATTGATTAAAAAAAAAGTTTTTGCATGACCTTAAATGCAACAAACGCTCCTAAAGGGAACGCCAAGTCTAATGATTAATCTTTGTGTTGTTATCAAAAAGCCAACACCTTTTTCACTCTGGTGTGAATCTGTGACACTGTACATGCTTTGTTCAGCCTGCGAGGTCTGTCGCCACATTGCTGATTTGAAAAGCTTGTAATTGCCAGGAGCTGATGTTCATGGTTATAAGGGAAGTACATGTGCATGACCTCAGTGTCACCATCACTAAATGCTTCCAACTCGTAATTTGATTTGGCACGTTGACCTCTTCTGCAACCTTGCCTCCTGGAAAATTAGTAATACTTTGGATGAGTGTGAGTTGAAACAGAACAAGGCCAAAGGTGAAACAGTGGGTTTTGATGTTTCCAGCCATATTTTTAAACAACAATATCTTTTCAGCCAGTTCTGGAAAAGTAAACATGATTTTTATTATTATTGCTAACTTGTATCTGTGGTTTCCAGTAAGACCATTGACTGGCTGACTGACTAAGCTTGTTACCATCTCATCCCTTTCATGGTTTCACAATATACCATGTATAACAAGTGTAGCATTTGTCCTACAACAGTAAGGTGCCTTAATAGACTTGACTTTGATATTTTGTCATATTTGTAAATTACAATCCTGTTTAGAGTAAAAAAAAAAAGCAAATCAGCATGAATCATTTACATATGCTAAGACTGGGTTTGAATGTTTGTAACTTTAATAAAAAATGTAATACATATGCTTTTACTGCAACTTTGACTTGATCAGTTTTACTTTCTGGCATTTAAAGGTTTAATAAGCAGAAATAAAACAGTGAAAACTTTATGCACCAAATGAATAGGAACAGGAAAAGGATATATTAAATGTTGCTTGGTAACGTTATATTTGGCACCAACACCTCTTAGTGGGCATTAAAGAAGACCTTAGCCTTAAAAACAAACTCCTCTGTGTATGTTTTTTTCCCCCCTCAACAAGGTGAATAAATGCAGCTAAGCCTCCTAATACTACTGCTGGCAGTAAAACACAGCAGGCAAACAGACTCTGACAAAGATATCTCTGTTAAAATTGATGATTATGCTCCTTGTGAGTTGGTGGAAAACGGCGTGTTTCATGGTTCCTTTTTTAACATTTGAAGGATATAAGTCAGCTGCCAGACTTCACTACAGACGTCTTTGGCTGCCAGTCTCGCTCTACTACATGCTTTTCTTCAGATCACTCAAGTGGAATTTAAAGGAAAATTAGCCAGATTTGGATGTTTATTCAAGGAAATGGTCCCTCTCAGAGTCTTAATGCAACTTGCAGGATGGGGAAGTTTTTTTGGGATCTAATGGCAGGATTAAGTGGGGTCACGGCATGCAAATGGTCCCAAGTGGGCGTCCGTCAACAACAGCATCTCCTGTTCTCCGAAACACACTCCTCGTCTTGATCACTTGATCATAAAGACCACAAACTATCCAATTAGCTTTCATGAGTGCCTTTGTTGTGGACGCAACTGGAATGGGAAGTGAATTAATTCTGAGAGGAATTGGTCCCTCTTGAGGAGTAAAGAAAAAGGCTTCAGAGAACATCTGGCCGGTGATGGATGGATGGAGCCAGTTTTTGGAGTGCGTTAACAAGACCGGGTGTTTTCAGTTATGTAGCAGAAAGCTCTCATACTCATCTCATTGTTGCCATCTGGGCTTGATCTGTGCAGTAAAACTGAGGGGTGTGTACTGCATAAGCCCGACAAAGTGTGTGTTGTGTGCAATCTGAAATCCCAGGCCACGATCGACTGGCACTGGCACTGCCAAGAAAGCCAGGCAGCAGTGTTTTAATGCATTTCTTATTGTTTTCATGCTGCAGGGACAGTTTTATTTCCCCCCGTGTGTCCCGCTCAGGTATGCCAGAATCCCAAGTCTTTCAACTCTGAAAGAGCTTCTA